GAGGTTGCTGTGAGCGTGATGCCATGGCACTCTACCCAGGGGGATAGCTTGAGGCTCCGTCTCAAAAAAAAAAAAAAAAATTAGAGGGACTTTATCCAGCAAATGCAAGCAGTGTAACCTGGTTCTTTGTACCCCCAATGATTCCCCAAAAATTAAAAAAAAACTTCCCCAAATCAACAACAACAAAAAAAAAACCTTCAAAAAGTGATACTTAGGGCGGCGCCTGTGGCTCAAAGGAATAGGGTACTGGCCCCCCATATGCCAGGGGTGGTAGGTTCAAACCCAACCCTAGCCAAAAACTGTAAAAAAAAAAAAAAAACCAAAGGTGATACTTAACTGCCTATGAGTTGTATCTCATTCAGTAATAATAGTTATGGGCAATTTTGGCTATTTTTCACATTAATTTTTATAGGGGAGACATACACAGTTTACATTGCAACAAAAGAACAGAGCTCTTTCCAAACACAAGTGCCTTGTTTGTGGACGATGATGATTACCACCAGATATCAAGCAACTAATCAGTATAGTTCCAGAATGGAGAAGAGGAAGAAAAGAGGCAAATGTAAGTAGATAATATGGAGGTATACAAAAATGTTATTTTCTACCCTTAGGGAAACTAACTCAGAGAAGGTAAATCCTTGACCCAATAGGGCATAGATTATTAAATAGAAAAGCCAAACTGCCAACCTGGGTCTGCTGAACTCCAAAGTCCCTGTTCTTTCCCTGCTGGCAAGTTCTTTTCTCTAATAACCGTTCCATATCATCCCTTTACAGTAAATACTTCAAGACTGTCTGCAGGGGTCCTCAAACTTTTTAAACAGGGGGCCAGTTCACTGTCCCTCAGACCGTTGGCGGGCCAGACTACAGGCCCTAGGACGAGTCGGCTGCTAAGCAGGACAGGCAGCTGCAGCAAAAACACCCAGCAGGCCAGATAAATGTCCTAGGCAGGCTGCATGTGACCTGCGGGCCATAGTTTGAGGACACTTGGTCTAAGGCAACGGTTCTCAACCTGTGGGTCGCGACCCCTTTGGGGGTTGAACGACCTTTTCACAGGGGTCGCCTAAATACATCCTGCATATCTGATATTTACCTTAGGATTCATAACAGTAGCAAAATTACAATTATGAAGTAGCAACAAAAATAATTTTATGGTTGGGGGTCACCACAACAGGAGGAACTGTATTAAAGGATCACAGCATTAGGAAGGTTGAGAACCACTGGTCTAAGGGGATTTTATGATTAAGAAAGTAATCAGGGGCCAGGCACAGTGGCCCACACCTATATTTCTAGCACTCTGGAGACTGAGGCAGGTAGACTGCTTAAGCTCACCAAGTTCAAGACCAGCCTGAGCAAGAGCAAGACTCCATCTCTAAAAAGCAGCCAAGAAATATGAAGGGCACCTATAGTCCTAGCTACTCAGGAGACTGAAGCAAGTGAATCGCTTGAGCCCAGGAGTTTGAGGTTGCTGTGAGCTATGACACCACAGCACTCTATCCAGGGTGACAAAGTGAAACTCTGTCTCCAAAAAAAAAATCAAAAACCCCAAAAGCATATTTATAGAAATTTATCACTCTTAGAGAACATCTCGCGTATAAACCAAATTCCCTGACATCTGAGAGTACAACAATGCTTCCTGTAAGTTAATTTTGTCAAAATCATTAATAGCAAAGAGAGACTTAACAGGCTACACAAAGATATATCAGAGGAAATGGATTTACTCCTCCACCTGCCTTTACAAGGCATTACTCCTTTATTCCCCACCTCTCAGATAAAGCTACTTGGAACTCTTCAGAACTCTGTCTCTTATGAGAGTGGCCTACACTTAATGAACAGGCTTCATTCATTGCCTTTTAAATTTTACCATGTATATATCCGTCCCTTACAAATGCATGATTTTCAATTAACAGACATGGATCCTATTGTGTGTATTCTTTAGTATTTTCCTTCTTATGCTCACTACTTTGTAAAATTCATCTCC